AACACATATAAAAATGAAATGAATGTAAATAAATAAAACATTATGGCTATTTTAGTTATTCTCAGTTTAAATGTTGCTCTTTACACTTATAATGACATTTCTGCAACTAATGAAAGATAGCTAATTTAGTTTTCCTAATAGGCTAGTAAACATTTTAATGAGGTAACTAAGTCACATTCAATAGAAAACTGATTTTCAAACTCTTATTATTTTCTCAGAATTTAATTGTAATAGCATGGAATACATCTGTAAGGAATGGACAAAAATAATTTGTATCTTTCATGTCATTTTAGAATAACTATATACCCCATAAGGGAGTTTTCAAACTGCTTACACCAAAAGTATGTACATTGCTGTATGTGAAATCAAATCAGCACTCAAAAATGTTGCCAAGAGACAGGTCAAGATACTTGGAAACTCTTAAAAATTTAAAGTATATGATACTTCTTAATGATTACTTTACAAAAAACATTTTTCACAATATATAGGAAGTAATATATCAATCTAAATATTTTATGTGATTTTTACCAGTCCTTTGCATTTTCTAATAAAAGATTTCTCATTTAAAATCCAGGAAAGTATCTTGTTACTTCACAGAGCTACCAAAAAAGGGCTGAACTCTTGTTAAACATTGTAAGTATAAAATAAAAAATCTAAATTAAAGTATTATTATTTAGTGACACACACTGGAAATGGAAAAAAAGTACACAACATGGAAGTAAATTATAAATAAAAAGCACAGTTAAATGTGATAAGTTAAATACTATAAAAACATACTAACACTCTTGCAGAAGATTTTTAGACTAGAAAATGAAATCTGAAATTATTCCTGATGCAGTATTAAACACATTGTTCAAAAACTCTAAATACTTCCAGCTAAAACAAGGTAGATAAAAAGTCAGTAATGTTTATAATTATAAAAATTCTTTCAAGTACTCTTCTCACATTTATGTTCTACATAATACCAAATTCTACATACATCATAACAAACTAAATTATAATTATGTGAAATCTGGAAATACCATAATCACAAATTTTAAACATAAATTTTGATTCCCCAATTTAAAAGTGCTAAACTGGTAAATTATTCAACCATCAGATTAGACTTTAAAATTTTACTTCAAAATATTGTTTCAGTTTTCACATTTCTCAAGCAACATTTGCCTTAATAGAAAATATTCTGCAGAAGAGTACATTTGATATAGTATTTATGAAAAAGTTAAACACTTTTAAGTATATGGATTAAGGATATGGATAAACATCAAATTAGATGAGACTGCTAAAAATATGGACTATTTCTTTAACATTAATAAAATGTGTCAATTTACAAGCTACAGTAATACTCAACAAAATGAAAATAAGACTTTAAAAATTCAAGAGGTAAAAGAACCACAATCAGCAACTTGTGTAAAGGGAAAATAGGAATATATTTATTGCATGTATTGGCTACTACATCAACTTCTCATAAAATCTTCCTGACCTATAAAATAACTTCAGAGCAGAAGCATGCTCTCTCATGGGAGTTGTAAAACAAATTAGACACAATTACAATTCAATATAAATAAAAAGCCAACCTATTTACCCTTAAGATTTCTCATTTTATAGCTTTATCTTTTAAATTACACCAGATTTTCCCTGAACAGATCAAATGCACTACTTGGCATAATTATTAATTTTTCTAGTATGTTTTCTATAGAGAAAAATAGCTGATACAAGTGAATTCTGGAAAACTGTGGCAAATATACCTCCCCAAAGTGAACACAACAAGCAGCTGTTGCAAGAATTGCTTGGCTTTCACACAGTATATAAATTGTGTTCTTTTTCTCAGTATTGCTATTTTTATAGTATACTTGTTCAAAGAAAAAACAAACAAACACCACAGGATTCTACTAAAATTCTCAGTGTACAAAATCATAAAGGGAAATTAAGCTACTGACAAGATTCCAATTGTTTCTCAAAGGGCAAATAAAATAATTGGGCATACTGCCTCTGACTGGGGGTTTCATATCAATTTTAACCACTGTCTTTATTTTTTAACTTGGTGCATCACAGAAACATAGCAGCATTCATACTAGGAGAGGGGACTGAAAATTTACCTTCTTGGTGATTTTTACTTTTTCCTGGAATTTCTGTGATAATTCTTATTCCTCTGGGTTTCAATGGTTTCTATCTACTTCTAAAGTCAATAATACTCTGACATCCTCATTAAACAAATGAACTCTTAAGGTTTAACTTCAGTGACAGAATAATGACCCATGTTCTGCGTAAACCATCATATAATAATTTTCAGTTAGGGGAGAGCCAGTAAGCCTTCATGGCTTATTGTCTTTTTTCTTAAGTGTACCAACAAGTTAGTCAGTGCTCTTTGGTAAGCTGACTGCACCTCCTTTAATTCTTAAAGAACAGAATTTTGCCTAAAATTCACAACCATTTTACAGAATAAAATTCCATCTTTTTAACATTTGGAAATTTCACAACCTGTTCACAAATACACAGATGCAGTAACCTTATGAATGAAATAATAAAAAACGAGTGTGTTTAAACCTATTTCAAGTAACATTAGACTTTACATGCTTCTCAATTTTTCTACTCAAAGAAAAGTTTGAAATTATTATTTCTACTGAAGATTCAGATTCACAACTCTATTTTATGCTAACAATAACAAACTGATTTAATTTTTAAAACATTCCTGAGAACATTTCAACAAGGCATTATAATACACTACACAGAGAAACCTCTTTGTCATTAAGTGGGAAAGATAGTAAGCTTCCCTTTCCTTTTTGGGCAACTCCATAACTATTGTATTATGAGCATTTTATTATGCTTCCACAAACTTCAAGGTCTATAAAGGAATCTATCTGTACATCTTAATAAATTACTCAAATTGTTAACATCAACCTGTATATGTTTATATAACCACAGCAAAAATGTTTTGCATAAACCACTTTTCAAAATGCTACTATATAAATTTTGTGAGAAAAATGTTTACAGAAAATTAATTTAAAAATTGATATAAATGAAAAAGAGGAAGAGGGGTTGAAGGGAGAGCAAAGGAATAGGGGAAAAAAAAGAATCAAGATCTATCAGGCACAAGTACAAATTTTTTTTCTTATGATGAAAGTGATCATTGTATGTACCTAAATACACCAATAAACTTAATTTTTATAAAAGTCAGTTTGATATGCTCCAGTATATATGTTTATAATTGTTTTCAAACAATATCTAAGACCAATCTCAGTTAAAGCCATTTGTCTTCACAAAATAGTAATCACAGAAAATGGGGGTTGGTATATTTGCTCTTTTCCTAGCATAGTTGGCTAATCTACCCAAGGAATACTCAGTAGCAATTAACTGCCAAAAGCTTCCTTCATGTAATGTGAAAGTCTTTACTTCCTATAGGTGATTACTATGAATCATATATTGGTTTTAAATAAAATATTTGTCTCAATTATATGAGGTCTACAGGAAAGTTTCTTTAAAAGAAAAATTAATCTATTATCAGGTATTATAAGTAACTTGTAAATACGTGATTTGAGGTTACAGATATTATATATCTGCTTCATACATGCTTTATATTTAAACACAGACTGCCTGTCTATATTCTATAATGTAACCATATATTTTTCACTATAAATATCAGAACAATATATTTTCAGCAAAGCATGTTATATCATAAATTATGTTACATGTATAACAATCCATCATTGCATACTACTATACCCATTTCATAGACAGAAAAATCTAACAGTGAAACACTAAAAGATTTACCTAAGCCAAGAGAAAGGTTCTACAATTATATGAGCAAGATCCACATAATGATGATACTCTAAATAATTTTTTCTAGCTATTTGTTTCTTTAATTACCAAATATGAGTTCTTTTTCTAAAATCTACAAGAAAAGAATGTTAAGTACTTAATGCTGAATAAGGTACCTAAAGACAAACAGGAGCTCTAATAATGAACTGATTTTTTAAAATTATTTTTCTAAAAAAAAACAAAAACTGTCCAGCTATGTCTCTCTTCTGCTTCACACTTTAAACATCAAAGTAAATTACCCAAACTAATCCCGCTCACAGTAATTCACATTATTCTCATTTTATAGGTGAGAAGCCAAGCACAAGAACAAAGTTATTTAACATGGGTCACACACTAACTGGACAGGGGATCTGGAGTTAAAACGTATATGTTGGTTCTTCATCTATTTTTTAAAATAAATGGCAATGTTGTTCCTATTAATCATCTTATTCCAAGGCTGCTTGGGTAAGCACACAATTTCCTGAAGGACAGGAGAAATATATACTCAAAAGTATGAGTCTACAGGGATACAATGAGATTTCATTTTACTGTACTTAGGTTATAAGCATTATTATTTAAGTTTTAAAACCTACTCATATCTTACTACTTTAGTACCATGAACTAGAAGCTTGGCTGAATGAGACACTAATTATTTGTTCAGAATTATTTGACTTTATAGGAGAGACATAAGCTATAAAACAAATGAAAATGAGAAAATTAAAGAGTGGATCCTTATCAACATGTACTTAATGACTTGGAATTGACATCAATTTTCAGACTGGACAATAAGACCCATTCCCATTTCAGAGGGACAAGAACATGACATTTGAAGGCAAGCAATGCAAAAAAATATGCACAAATTATTTGAAAATCTGAAAAGAAGAATGAATTAAATTGGTGGAGTTAAAAAAATTAAACAGGTCTTTAGCCCTTTAAAATAGATGAAAATAATACCTAGGTAGGTTTTATAACTTTTGATAGACAGTTAAAAAACAATTTGTACAGTATTCTTCAAATAGGATCAGGAATGTAAATACCTACCAAACTGAGATAGGGTTTCAAAAAAAAAAAAAATCATGGTTTTAAGATCAAAATAGCACAACTGCATATCCCTAAATATGTGAATCATTTCATATTCCAGTATAGTAGCAGTATTCCACAAACAAACAAGGTAAACAAAAAGCCATCACATTAAAGAAACATACCTCCTGCACTGAGCGTGCAGCTGGCTTATCTTGATGATTGGCCAATATTAAAAATGGTAAAGTGCATAACTGTGGGTGCTGAAGAGCTGAGTGCAGTTCATTTCTAGCAGTTTCTAAATCATCCTCTGAAGAAGCACTGTCTAATACAAATATTACCCCTTGAGATCCTTGATAGTAGCGACTCCAGTATTTCCGGATATTATCAGCTCCTGTCAAAAACAAAACAAATTGTGATTTTGGAAATGATTTTCAGAAATTGAAAAATGTTCCAAACAGTAATTACTGCTGGAACTTTTTCAAAATTCAGTTTGAAAGTCTATAGGATGGAATAGAATTCAAATCTAGAACAAGAAGAGGCAGTGATGGGTGAGAACAAAGGTGGTAGCACCAGTGGCGAGGGTCTTGAAGAACAGAAAATTTTGAGTCATTCTTCATGACTTTTACATCAAATTATGTGAGAAAGAATCAAGGTAAGATTTAAAGTCCAAACAATGTTTTTAGACTCTGCTTGAGAGCCCTAAATATACTACATTTTCTACGAATTGAGTATAGACCTGAGAGTGTCACCCAGATGCTCACCAACGCTTCTCATTTGTCACATTTATTTGGTGACAATTTGATAGAATTGTATCATGGTTTGAAGTATCTCTCCAAAGTTTAAGTGTTGGAAACTTAATCTGCAAATTTTATGTTCATGGTATCTGGAAGTAGGGCCTTTCAGAAATAATTAGTGATTAGATGAGATAATAGGAGTGGCGACTCCATGATATGTAAGAAGAGAGATCCAACATGGCACACTCGCTCTGTCTTGCCATATAAAGCTTTCTACACATTAGAAGACTCTCATCAGATGCAGATTCTTAATCTTGGACTTCTAAGCCTCTAGAACTGTGATACATAATTCTTCTTCTTTAAAAATTACTCAGTCTGTGATATTCTGTTATAACAACAGAAAGAGGACTAAGATAAATTGCTAGCTTAGCTGCACAGCCTTATATTACTCCATCTAGAGGATAGAGATATTTCTAATATACTGATTATAAATTAAGTGCAGTCAAGAGAAACTAGGAGTGAAAGAAGTAAGATAAAGAGAAGAATCTTGGCAAAGATGTTTTCAGAAATCTAGCCTCGGCTTGATTCCATAAAGGACTCTGGAGCTTTGATGGAACCACAGAAGTTGTTCAGTCCAGAGGCAAGAAGGCCGGTGTTACAACTTTGTATCATCATTGTCTGTGAGTCATCTTGAGGAGCAGGAAAGGTTTGGAGCCTGACCTCATAATCTCCCAGACATACTTGGTTGAGACAATTAACCGTCAGCCAAGAGCAGGTCTCTAGCGAAGTATACAGGTATGAGTCATTAGCAGTCAATACCCACAGCAGCTGAGAGATGGATGCATGGGCCTAGAAAAGGAAATCTGGGTAGGACACCAATAATGTCTGCTACAAACTACATTCAGATGCTCTCCATATGCTAAAGAATCACTCTAAGCTTTGGGGATGAAAGTGGAAGTGGTGTTACCCAGTGATAACCATAACAACAAAATTACTGTGTGCACACTTAGCTGTATGCAAGTTTGCCATGAATTTACTAACATAAGGATATGCAGCACACATTTTTTATCATAATATATCAAACATACTTTATTAAAAATTCCACAGAGCTAGTTAGTGCATACAGAATGTTGCTATCAACTAGCACAGTTTTGATATGACTGATGGTGTTTCCGAGTGTTTTATAGATATTAACACATTGAACCTCTGGAAACCTAATCAATAATGAATATACTGTTACACTCTTTGCACATCAATAGAGAAACTAAGACACAAAGAGATTATGTAGATAATCTTGCCCAAAGTTATAAACCTAAGTATATTTGTCTCATGTAATTGAAACAGATCATCGATCATAGGGAATAGGGTAAATTTATTATTCTACTACCACATAAACTAGGGGGATGAGATTTTAAAAAGTACTTAAGTACATATATTTAATATATAATACATAATATTTACAATATAATTTAGATAAATATTAATGCACAGAGTAGTAATATGTCCAAAATCATTTTCTAATCAATTAATTCAATAAATAGTTCTTAAATACTCACTAAAATAGCATCTGAAAAATGTTTAGAAAGCTATTATTTATCTTAGCTCACACTATCAAATCCTGTAAAGTAATATAATCACATTGAGGCCTGCATACCAATTAAAGGGAATATGTGTGACCACATATTCTCATACACTGAGGCAAGTATAAGAGAAGAATATTGGTTCTTTAATTGAAAATTCATAGACATAATGAAAATCTAACTCACGTAATCAGTTCTTTAAATGAGAAACAATATTTTAATTTGCCATATTCAGAAATACATAAAATACTTAAAAATAGTGAAATAAAATGAAACAGGTCTAATGGCAGCATTGGTAGATTACTTCAATCCCAAACAGAAACAATGTAATTTTTCCAAATGTCTTTTATATGACTAATGTGGACATCATTTTGAAAAGACCTTTTTGTTAAATTTCCTGAAACAAAGTCTTCTTCTCAATCTTCATATTTAATTCTTCATAAACACCGAACTTGGAATTCTAAATTCCAGTATATCTTCCTGTCAGTGGTTACGGTCAGTAGCAACCTAATCCAGATTGAGGCCAAAGAAACCAGCAATGAGGTGAACAGTGGCATAAAATTTAGTGAACTGTATCACTAGATTAAAACAAGAAATGACTGAGTCATCAATCGAAGGTGCCAGGAGCTTTGAGAAGTGATAATAATTGTTACTAAGGTTACAGACACCTGTTGAATGCTGACATCCCAACATTCTCAACCCACAAAGAAGATCCAAAAGGAATAACAAACACAGGGAATAGCATCCAACACAGCCCAAGACAACACATTTTAATGACTAAAATTTGTATGCTCTGTGGCATAGTGCAATTGATATATAAAGGTTTAGACACAAAACTCAAACCGGGTTTATGTTTTATATACTTAGATTTAAAATAAGGAGAAGTCTCGACAGTAGAGGAATTTAGTGGAATGTGATGTCAAATGTCCTTATTACTCTAGGTCCAATGCTCTCTTACTAAATTGGGAATTTAAGAGCTTACTCTGAAAGCCAATCAGGAGAATCAAGCTCAAAATACTATAGTAGGAGTGAAGGGAGACGACAAAAGCATAACATGCCCTCATTAAGGAAGTTCATTTCTGTGCCCCACTATGAATGTTAACAATATTTTCTCATTATTGATGAATTCATTCACTGCAGATATTTACTGTACAGCTGGCATTATTCTAGGTAATGGTGTACAGCAGTAAATAAAAAAGACAAAAATTTCAGTCTTTATAATGCTAACAGCTGAGCCAGTCTATCACGAGAGAGATTAAAAATATCAGGGCTCATTTCTCTCTTGCTGTAACATGGTCACAGAATTCATATCTGGCCAACTGGGATGCGGAGGTGCTGGGAAATTTTTCCTCCTCAATAAAAAGAGAGGCGTCCTTTCTCTCATAGCTTTTAGTCTTTAGGTGGTAAGCTGATGCTTCAAGGAGTATTACCTCTCTAGCAACCTTGAAAGAGTCATGCCTACATACTAAAAGATACCCATATTAGAAGACAGTCTGGATCCTTGAGAACAATGCAATATAACACATCTTACTACTCAAACTATAAGAACTACTTATGAGAGCACAGTAATACTTATTGTTCAAATCAGTTTTTAAAAAGACAATTTTGTAATTTGTAATCAAAGAAATGCTAAGTTCCTTCATGTTAAATTAAAAGGTTATAAATTCCTTAACAGCTTTCTTTGAAAGATGGAACCAAAAAGTTTAAAAACAGATATTAGAAGTCAATAATAAAAACAGTTACTGAAAATTACCTTTATGGAAAATTTAATCTCTAGACTAGTGCTGTCCAAGTGAATGCAGTGACAAAAATTTTCTCTGTGTTTTCCAATAATGTAGTCACTTAACCACATGTGGCTGCTAAGCACTTGGAATGTGCTTAGTATAAATGAGAAACTGAAATGTTTATTTAATTTTCAATATAATTTAGAGTTAAAAGAGTTAAAAATGTCACAAGGTGATTAGCAACTTTTGGCTAGACAGTGTCTCTACATGTATCAATAACTGTCTGCTGACACAGTTACTGTTAGAAACATTATGAAAGAGCAATTAGAGAGACCTAATTCTGTTTCAAAAAGCAGGAGCAACAGTGTCTTGCTGGTATAGAAGGTGCTGCAGCCATTCTAATTCAGAGATGGCTTTACTGAGGGCAACTGACAAAGGCCTATGCCACAGGCTGGCTGGGACTGCTCTCAGCAACTGTAAAAGCAGAAAGAATAGGATGAGAACACATCATAATGTCTCCTCTCTCCATCCTCTTACTACAGACCTAAAAAATTAAAAGAAAGTAATAACAATTTCCATCTGAATGAATGAAGATAACCTTAGCAGTATTTCTTTGAGAGGAATTTCCAGCAAAGGAGAAAACATCTGAAGAGTAGGAGAAGGAGAGGAGAAGGAAGAGTAATGATCTTGAATTTTCCTCATTCCTTCTATCAAATTTCAATCTATTTTACATAGTGCTATCTTGTGATTCTCTTTTATAAAACAGCCTCATTTAATCTGTGTTTATAAATTGAAATACTAAGAATTCAGGAGGGACTAAAACATACACATATAAAAAACTGTCATACAGATCTCTCTACACAATACACACACATGCTCATACATAGTTAAAACAAAAATAATTGGAGTTCTCTTTCAATGAGTGATACAAAGTATAAAAATACAAATACTTAAAGTATGGTTCTCTACAGAAATTTATAATTCCTATTTTGCTTTTCAAAAAGTCAATAAAATACATTAGATAATAAAATTTCCTAGAAAAACGAGAAGTTGTGAATGCTTTATGAAAACAAATTTGGTTTGCAACAATGAAGAGGAATCAGAAGAGTAAACAACAGTGGAGCTGAAGACTAGTCTCCAGAATACAAGGAGATCTTAGTGAACATCGACAGGGAAATAACAGGCGATGATTATCTAGTCATCATGTGGTCCTAGAATATTAACACTACATAAGGAGCTCACTCCATAAGGAGCTTCCAGCCATTACTCTTTTTTACTCGTTAGCCTTTTTTATCCTCACTTAAGGAAGAAACTGGTGAAGAGAGAGAGAGTAAACATCTTGCTCTGAGTCCA